GAAGGTTAGCCTAGGATACTATCACAGTCAGAAGCAGAAGCAGCTTGCGCAGCTTGTCCCTGCCCTTGACCTGCTGCCATCTGGGTAATAGGGCCCAGGATCCGTTGCTCTATGGCCGCCATCAGCGTGCGTTGTTCCTCTTGAAACGCCATGGTTTGCATGCGCTGTTCCTCTTGAAACGCCATGATTTGCATGTGCTGTGCTTGTTGCTGTGCTAGTTGCTGTGCTTGTTGCAGTGCTTGTTGCTGTTGAAAATTTGCAATGGCCAAGATCTGCATGAACTCTCGGATAGTTACACCAACCACTCTTCCTGAATCAAATGTCATTGAAGTACCCGAAATATCGTTATTGTTGAATATGAGTGCATTGCTGCTGCTAAGCGCCTCGTCGCCTTTTTCGTTCCCCTGATCAACCTCGTCGTCTTTTTCGTTCCCCTGATCAACCTCGTCATCAGATGTACCTGAGGCAATGACGACCTCCAAACCCTCTGGGAGAACTTGAGCGCTGTCAATAAGGTGAAGCCCAGGAACGTTGGTTGGGATGTTGGAGTGGGCGCAGACCCGCTTGTAATGCTTGCTCAGGCTATCCCTTGTCAGGAATGGCTTTCTACAGACGCAGATGAAAGTCATGCTTCTATCCTCGCGCCTTTCAAATTGGACGAACACATTTAAAAGGACGTTTTTCACTTGAACTGGCACCGTTGAGTGAGACCGAAGCAAGTGGTCTTTTTCTGACTTGGTCAATGGCACAGGTCCGTCCCCGTCCCTGACCGGGAGATTCTGTTCAATGCGACGCTCGTATGTCTGAATCGCCGCTTTCTTGTCCAGCAGTCCCTGGATACAGTTGTAGAATGTACATTCGTTTCTCTGTGCCTTGATCATTGTAGTTAGCGTAGCGTGCAGTGGAATGCTGGCGAGGAAGGTAATTTGCAACAGTGATGTTGGTTGTAGAGTATTAGAGTGTGCACAGAGAAGAAAGTTGCGAGAAAGAGTGCATTGCACCATGTCCTCCACCTTGCATGGAATATATAGCTCGCCTCATAGTCTATAAGCTCTCTTCTTGACAATATCACCATGACCATGTTGTGTCATTATCTCTCTTCGTCCAATTGCTTTATGCCCATCTGCAGCTTGTGCATTTGCTTGTCCTTTTGCTCGCCCTTTTTCTCGTCCTCGTGTCTATGCCGCACACCTGCAGGTCCGTCTGCAGCTTGTGCATTTGCTTGTCCTTTTGCTTGTCCTTTTGCTTGTCCTTTTGCTTGTCCTTTTGCTTGTCCTTTTGCTTGTCCATTTGCTTGTCTATCTGCTTGTGCATTTGCTTGTCCTTTTGCTTGTTCTTTTGCTTGTCCTCTTGCTTGTGCATTTGCTTGTCCATTTGCTTGTGCATTTGCTTGTCTATTTGCTTGTCCTTTTGCTTGTCCTTTTGCTTGTCCATTTGCTTGTCTATCTGCTTGTGCATTTGCTTGTCTATTTGCTTGTGCATTTGCTTGTGCATTTGCTTGTCCTTTTGCTTGTCCTTTTGCTTGTCCTTTTGCTCGCCCTTTTTCTCGTCCTCGTGTCTATGTTGCACCCTGCACGTCCTGCTGTTCGTTCTTTTTCGGAATGTGCAAGGCTGTTTGGAGATTTTAAGTCTGGATGATTAGGGTTTAGAGAGTGCAGTAGAATCCTCTCCAGAGAGTCGCGGGCCAACATATTTTTGGAATAGTTGGCTCAATTCAATAAATACGGTTGCCCTTTTCACATACAAAGCCGACAGACAGGCGCATCCACTACTGCATCCATGTCCCTGACTATATTCTCATTTATGAAAGAGATAGCGACGCCGGTGAAGGTGCAAAGACAAGATGACCATTAAAGCTATAGATGACAAGAGGACGTCTAGACGCAACCGTGGTGTCCTGTGTACGTGCAGAAAAAATTAGTCAATTGAAAGGGCTCAAAAATATGTTGCCAACGACTTTCTGGCGAGGACTCTACTATTCACGAGAGTCCGTTATACAAACAGCAGGCCACGTAGGGGACGCCACTCATGCAGTTGTAGATTATGAAACCAGTACGCTGTTTATTTTCTGTCCCGCCTGTAGGTTTCCTTCAGACTACAGTCAATAAGTCCCGTCTATGAGTGTTCTCGTTAATAAATAAATAAAAAAAGAGAGAGTCCGTTATACAAGACTATAGTCTATGATCTATCCAGACCGGGTATCCGGAGAATGTCCTAAGATACGTCTTACTCATAGACTAGATACTCATAAACAATTGCTTTCAGTAAACTCTTGATGTTCACCTTGTGCAATGTCCAAAGCGCCTTTGCAATTGAACATTTGGAGGTATCACCAACCGTTCGCTTTTTCAACCTTCTTCCATGTTGACTGAGAAGTGCATCTGGACTTAATTCACATATTTGACACTCCAAAACTAGGAACTAGGGAGATTCATTCAATTGGGCTGTAACCGTTGGATTATTTTTCGATGCACAGGACAAGAGCGACGCGTATGGCACTGTACAAAAGGTCGTTTGTAGCGACCGGCTTCTGAATAATACCTCTGATTGACTAGCAGCCTCACTGTCTACCGTAGCAGGAGGCGACAGGGTAACTCCCATATTGGAAGCTATAAATTGGAGTCCCTAAACACAATACGCTTGAGTATCTCTATCTCTCTGACCTCAAATGAACCATTCTCACACCTTTCTCAGTTACAAATGGCTTTGTCTCCAGACAGGACAAGAACTGCTGTATTTTCTGCCTAAAATGCCGCGACCGATGTCACCAGTCGAGGCAATAATGGTCCCTTTTTTATCAGGAGATCCGGCTCCTGAAAATGTCATCCTGGAATCAAAAGTCCCATATATCGATCGTATTCCTCCTCATGAGCAACTCTCCAAGATCATTCAGCTCACGCATGATCTTGGGGACTGTCACTTGGTCCATTTTCCAGGGGTTGGCTATTTTACACCTAGTGCCATCCGCATGTCGATCCAGGTTGGTACCTATTCCATACGAGTAATCGTACGAATAGACATAGAAAATGTTTTTAACGTCCTCCTACTTGTCCCATTGTTTCTGATCTCCTACATGATTATTCTAAGGTTGATTCCACAAGAACATTTACTGAAACCCTCCAGAGTGTGGCGAGATGGATTGAGCTCACCGTCCGCCAACTGGACACTGACTTTACTGCGTGGTTCTTGAATATAATTATGGAGCACAAACCATATCAGAAGGTGTTCTCCCCTTCCTTCTTCCCTCAATCGCATATCAGTCTCAAGTCTGTCCTATCAGTTGCTAAGGAGAATGGCTTGATGACGAGGTGGTTAGTGGTATTCAGGCGTTCTTCGATCGCTCCTATGGACAGGGTGGCCAGTACTTATTTGCGCCTTCTTCATATATATGGCCTAATTCTAAGGTCTCGGGACGCGAGAAGGAGCAAACCAGGGGTGGATGCGCCAAAAAGCTGTTCGCGATTGCTTATATGGGACAACACTGGGGCGTTGTATGCCTTGACCTCAAGAAGTATCAGGTCCTCTTTGGTGACTCCATTGGCTGGCCTGTACCACATGAAGCAATCGACGCTTTAGTGAAGTGGATGGACCCGCCTGCCGAGGACCTTCCCAAGTGGAGGAAAGCCAGCAAGAATGTCCTGCCTTTCTTGACCCCAAAGCAGCAGGACAGCGGATCCTGTGGCATACTAGCCGCTATGGCCATCGAGCAACATGTCAATCCATACGTCGACTGGTCAGCCCATGCCTTCGCTTTGAATCATCGGGTCCGGTTCTTGCGTCTATTAACGGGCTATACTTCGGTACTTTACACACACTTATCAATTGCGTCGATAGTTGGAGTATCTAGGATATAATTTAACATTTTTAACACTACTTGATTTAATGTTTAGATGATGGAGGATGATGACCTCGTCCGTGCCTTCAAGAAG